TCCCTTCATCCCTTCTCCATCCCTTCTCCATCCCTTCTCCATCCCTTCTCCATCCCTTCTCCATCCCTTCTCCATCCCTCCATCCCTTCTCCATCCCTTCTCCATCCCTTCTCCGTCCCTTCATCCCTTCTCCATCCCTTCATCCCTTCTTCATCCCTTCTTCCAGCCAAGGGTCTCTCTCCTTGCAGGGATATTGCTGTCAGGAACGTCCTGGTGGCCTCCCCAGAGTGCGTGAAGCTGGGAGACTTCGGGCTCTCCAGGTACATCGAGGATGAGGAGTACTATAAAGGTAAGAGCTGTGCGAGGGCGCTGGGGCTCGCTCCAACCCTGTGCGGTCGGAGTAGGGATTTCTCTGGCCGGCAGAGCCTGAGGGTTCCTGCAGCAGCGGGACGGGGTGGTGGGAAGGGGCTGGGGCAGCAACCGTGGTGAGCCCTCGCTGCCTTGCCCAGCCGGTGCTGGAGCTGCTCCGTCCCCCCTGCAGTGGGCACAGCCACCATCCATCTCTCCCTCCAGCATCCGTCACCCGTCTCCCCATCAAGTGGATGTCACCCGAGTCCATCAACTTCCGCCGCTTCACAACGGCCAGTGACGTCTGGATGTTCGGTGCGTGGTGGGACAGGGACAGAGTGGGACCCCGGGTGTTGTCCACCTCCCGTGGCATCACCTTAATGCACAGGGACAAATCCTGCTCCGGAACGGGGGGGTTATCCCAGCCTTGGGGCAGAGCTTCTTGCAATTCAACCATCATTAGGTGCTTCCTCCTTCCTCCAGGGAATTCAGGACAGGCAGGGGGCTGAGTTAAACTCTCCCCCCTGCAAATATCCACCTCCCTGCCTATCAGCCCATCCCCATGGCTTCTGGCGCCTATCTGTCCGTCTGCCCGTCCCCAACAGCCCTATGGCCGGCAGCAACCAGGAGCTGGGCTCCTTGCAGCTCCCCAGGAGAGCAGGCAGCTCTTTCCTCCCCATTTTCCACCCAGGGATCGGAAAGCCTGAGCAGCCAAATGTCCTGATGGGACGCAGCAAAGTGTGGTGCTGTCACCGGGTCCCCAAAAACCCCGGTGAGGGGCTGGTCCCCCAGCTCTAGCATCCGTTGAGGTTGCTCCTGTTGCTCCCACAGCCGTGTGCGTGTGGGAGATCCTGAGCTACGGCAAGCAGCCCTTCTTCTGGCTGGAGAACAAGGACGTGATCGGGGTGCTGGAGAGGGGCGACCGCCTGCCCAAGCCCGATCTCTGCCCCCCCATGCTCTACACCCTCATGACGCGCTGCTGGAGCTACGACCCCAGCGAAAGGCCCAAGTTCAAGGACTTGGTTTGCAGCTTGAGGTGAGGATGAGGGGGAGGGCTGCGGTTTGATGTAGGGGTGGGCGACTGGGTAAAGGAGAAAAACGAAGCCTGGAGTTTTCTCCAGGTCTGGAGTTTTCTGGCCAAGTCCGAACTCAAGGGACCATTTGAGGCCACCTGCCCCAGGGGGTGTCTGGACTGAAATGGAAAAATTCCTTCCCCTTGGGGCTGTCAGGCACGGGAAGGGGCTGCCCAGGGAAGGGGTCGAGTCCCCAGCCCTGGGGGGATTTAACAGCTGGGCAGAGGCGGTGCTGAGGGCCAGGGTTTGGGGGTGGGATGGCAGGGGTAGGGGAACAGTTGGGCTGGGTGACCTTAGAGGGCTTTCCCAACCTAAACCATTCCATGATTCTGTTCTCTGGGAATGCTTTGCTTCCCAGGGAGGGGCCTTGCAGGAGAGTCCTGACCCCACATCTCATTGTGGCCAGCCGTGGTGATGCTGGCGGGGCTGGCCAGGACCATGCTCTGTCCCCCCCAGCCCTTTCCCTTCGCTCTTCCCATCCCGCCTTGCTCCCTTGTGTTCTCCATGGCCCATCCAGCTCCAGCATCCCCATGCTCTGGGGTACAGAGATGTGCCAATGCCCCCTCCTGGGGCTGTCACCCCCCCATCTCCCCCTGCAGTGACATTTACCTGATGGAGAAGGACCTGGCCAAGGAGCAGGAGAGGAACAACCGCCACCGGCCTCCCAAAATCATGGAGCCGCCATCCTTCCAGGAGCCACCTCCGAAGGTGAGGAGAGGGCAGTGTGGGCAGGTTCACCGCCCCACCTCGACCCACCGAGGGGTGCTGCAGGAGTGGGACCTCCCCGATCCTGCCCCCCACCATGCATTTCACCCCCCCTCCCCTCCCCGCAGCCCAGCAGACCCCTGTCAGGTAAGGTTGCACGGCCGGAGCATCCCACAGGAACCTGTGCAGAGGGGTCGACCCTGGAAAACCCTGCCTGCAGCTCAAGCCCTCGGGGGCTCGTGGCTTTTGGGGCCCCCCCGGCACCCCCGGGGGCCTCCCCCCACCTTGCCAGCAGGACACCGCGCCGCTCGGAGCTCAGCCCTGCCCTGCCCGCCCCGTGTTTTATCCATCCCTTGGAGCTGGCAGAGAGGTTTTTGCCCCGGGGGAGGGCAGTTTGCAGGCTCAGCACCATCCGGTTTGCATGCACGGCTGGGAGGAGAGGAGGTTTGCTGCTCTCTGCTGTCACCTGGGCTGATTTTGGCTGCCCCCGTGGGAGCACAGGTCACCCCCCCTGCAAGGACCGGTGCTGGTCCTTCCAGCATCAGCGTGAAGCCCTCAAGAGCAACAATTTCGGGTGCTCTTTTGGGGCTGGGCAGGGGTCCAGGCAGCAGCGTGGGAGGGCTTAAACCCACGCTCAGGGCGAGGAAGAGCCGAGCAGGGAGGAAGATCCCGATCCTGCTGCACGGGCGGGCATGAGGGCAGAGGCT